ATATTAAAACTTATTTATTTTTAACATTAATTACGTATTCCTTTATTACTTTCAAGGAACAAAGTAACAAGGAACAAAGTAACAAGGAACAAAGTAGATCAAACAGAAAAATAGAACAACAGGCAAGGGATTGGGGGCCAATTCGACAATCAAACTATCCAACAATTATCCCCACACCCTCGAGCGAGGTTTCTCACTCCCCCCTTACCTGGATAAGCGGAGTTGAAACTTGGGCAGAGCCTCCTCCTCTGGATTCCCTCTTTCTTTCCCTCTCTTTCTTTTTCTCTCTCTCTCTCTCTCTCTCTCTTTCTTTCTCTCTCTAAGATTTCACTTTCTTATTCTGTATAAAATTTTCACCCCCCTTGCCCCTATTTATAGGCATCCTGGCGCACCCGGAACGGCCCGTACTGATTTCGGAACGACCCGTTCCGGATCCTTCGAATATATGCAAATTTTTTAACTGGAACGGCCCGTTCCAAAATCGGAACGACCCATTTTCAAAAAGAAGAACGGCCCGTTCTAAATTCAGAACGACCCGTTCTGGAGTATATTTTTACACAGATTGACCTTAATCGGAACGCCCAGTTTCTAACTCAACTTTTTAGGCATTTTTAGAATTTCGAAACGGCCCATTTCACTTTGGGAACGACCAGTTCTGGAAAAACCCAAATAGGTCATTTTACACATTTGGAACGGCCCGTTCTGCTTCCTCAAAAATAGTTTATTTTCATTGTCTGGAACGGTCCGTTCCACTTTCGGAACAACCCGTTCTAGTGTAAAGAAATAGAATTTTATAAAACTTTTCACAAATAATTTAAATTGTTACAAACTTCTAAAATGTTCTATAAAAATCCCTTTTAATTAACTAAAATAACTATAACATAATCCTCATAAATATATAAAAATAGATAAGAATTGATATTGTAATAGTAAAATTTCGGCGTGTTACAAAAGTAGTGGGTGTTATTGGGACACTTGTCTCCATGGATAAAGACATGACCAATTTTAATAAACTTGATTCAACTTGCTTGCTTATTAGGACAACATCCCTTCAACTTATACAATTCAATAGTGTGATAAAGATCAACGATCTGATAAGACAAGTAAGGGTGGTGTAGGAGGTGGAACCAAGAGCATTTGGGTGCAATTGTTGGTTATGGGATCAAACTTCTATATCAGGGATGTCGTCAATAGAAAGTGATATAGGATTAAAATATTGTCTTCTTCCTCTAAGTGTTACGAAGTTAGAGCATATAAATTGTACAAGGGTAAAGGAAGTGATATAACAAAATGGTATGTCTAACACCAACCAACAAGACTCCACCAATGGAAATTCAAATGTTTAGCTAGTGAGTTTGGACAAATTACAATGCTTGGATAATAATTAGTGGACTATGGTTGAAGGAAGTGAAAAAAAAAAAAAACAATGACATTCACAAAGGTGAAAAAAATCCTGGAATAAGAAGATTTGCATAATAATGGATGTACGATGGGGTGTGTAACTGAAAGTAAGTCTAGTAAACCCTCATGTCATGTGATGGAAATAGTGCAAGAGAATGAAAATAAGGGTTTGCGTATTTCTTTTGGGCCACATGCAAACACTTATTATTGGGTTGTGCGGGAAGGAAGTTAGACCGACCCATATCATGGCTAACGCGTGTGTGTCAAATAACATGCAACCTGATTGTGGAAGTGTTAGTGGGGAACACAACCCATCCTTGGTCCACTCCTTAAAAAATATGGCCATTGTGTCTAATATAAGTTAAAATAATGGAGCACAAGATGAAGGTCAAAATCTCACTTTAGACCGATCCATTTTATGCAAGGAAAAACCTTCTAGTGATGTAGTGGAAGGAGAAGGTTTTAGATATGACGTTAGTGAGGAAACAGAGCCCATTCAGGAGATGGTGCATACAAAGCACGATAAAATAGAAACAACAACGGGGGAGGGTCAATTTCTTATCTTGCACCTATATCAACGTCTCAAAGGTCAAGATCCAGGAGAAGATGGGTGAAAAAAGAGGCAAGTTTGAAACCTCTAATGTGGAAGATATGGAACAAATTAATCTTATACATTAATATGAGAGCTAGTAGATTGACCAAGTCAAATGTCTAAAGGAACAAAGGTCCAACACGACAAACAAAAGGGCAAGCAAAAGGAAGGAGGTAAGATTGATGATTCACACTTTTAGCAATTCACTTACTGATAGTAATATTAGAAATTGTAATAAAGTTTTCTAGAGAATGAATGAGGCAATTGAGGGAAAGAAACTATGGGAGTTGGGGGTGTCATTAGGGGTAACTCATGTGGGGAATGACGATGACATCTTACAAAGGCTAGTCAGTTTGGAGAAAAATGATCCACAGGCAAACAAAAACTCGGTTGATAAAAAGGGAGAAAATGAAGTTAATACATGAAAAGAATGTCCTACAATGTTAGGGGCTTGGGAGGGAAGGTTAAATGTAGGTACAATAGAAGGTTAGTTTTCAAGGAGGAGGTTCAAGTATTATGTGTACAAAAGATAAAGATGAGTGATATCAGTAAATCATAGTTAAACATTGTAGGGGGACACTGATGTAAAGTGTTTGTTTTAACTCGTTGTTCAATCAAATTGGTGGACTTTTGTGTTTATGGAGCAAAGAATGTTTTCAGATGACAGAACAATTTAAAAAGGATGGTTATATAGGTGTGGAAGAGTGTGGAAGGATGAGGGATTAAACTTAACAATAGTTAATGTTTAGCTTCTTGCAATATTGTGCAAAAATAAAAGAATGTGGGAAGAACTAAGGGACAAAAAAGTAAATTGTAGCAACTATATTTGGGGCCCAAAACCTTTTCAATCGTTTGACTGTTGGTTATAGGATAAAAGCTTCATAGATTAGTGGAGAAAACATGGTTGGAATATCAAGTCGAAGGATGGGGGAATACATACTAAAAAAGAAAATGAAGAGGGTTAAAAAGAAAATAAATGAGTGAAATTTTGAATAGTTTAGAGATGTACAAGGAAAAATCAAGAAAGTAGATGAGCAAATCAATGACATTGATAGAAAAGAGGGGGGAGGGTTATTAGATGTGGAGGTAAGGTACAAAAAGGAACTATAAGAACAATGGCAAACTATCATTAAATAATAAGTCCATACTTAGATAAAAGTCAAGGTCTGAGTGCTTTTAGATGGGAAAGCTAATATGAAGTACTTCTATATGATGGTCAATTGGAAGAGGAAAAGAACAACTTAAAGGACCTAAAAATTGTAGGAAAATGGTTGGAAGAGCCAAATCAAATAAAGTAACAGGTTGAATGACATTTTGAACATATATTCAATGATGAAAGGAGGCAACGACCAAAGTTAGGTGTTAAGTCTCAATTACACTTCTTTTTGGACAAGACTTGTTGAACAATTCCACTCATCCTTTGCACCATTGCAAGATAATTGTTCTCTTTTTGATTCATTTTTTTGTGCAGATATAGCTAACCCAGAATTTAGCTAACAATACCCTAATACACCTCTTTTTTGTGCAGGTATTGAGCTAGAGAATTAAGGATTGAAGATCTATAGGATTGGAAATCTAAGGGGCTAAGGAACAGAGAAGAGTGACTGCGTCGGGCGCAATATTACCCGCGCCGGGCTTGCGCAAAATAGAGTGTCTCACCTCTATAAGTCATAGCTGCACCGGGCGCGAGACTACCCTCGTCGGGCATGATTGAGACAGAGAGTACCTCAAACTCTCTGGAAGGCATTGCGCCGGGCGTAAAAGGAATTGCGCCGGGTGTGTTATGAGGCAGAGAGTACTTATGCGCCGGGCGTGTAACCCTAATCTGACTCCCCAAGCTCGTATTTGAAGAAACTTTCGAGGGTTTTCTCCTCATTCACACATTGGGCGCGTTTTAGGAGCTGTGGAAGGGATTCCTGGAGCTTGGAGTCGTTCGTGTGTGGGTCTTTCCTTCGGTTCTTCATTCTCTCTTCATCTCTATTTTTTGTTTACCCTCATTGTTTTGAGTGGTTCTACCCATTGTTTTGTGGGGTTAGATGTAACCAACGAATGTTATTGTAATCCTTACGTTTTAATGATATATATACATGTTGTTTCACTCATTGTTGTGTATGTTTCTATTCTTAATGCTTGCTTTGGATTGATTCTCCTTTGCATGATATAGGTTCCATTAGGTGTTGGAAAATAACCATTGAAACTAGCTCTGAAATAAATGCCTAGTGGGAAATGTATCTAGGAATGGAGTTTGGCCCATTAGTAGTCTTAAACCCTAGCCCGTAATGCGGGTGTAGGTATTGGATACTTAAGGAATTGATATTCAATATCCGCACCTAGGCTCTTGCTCTAAGGGATTAGGTTTGAGTAAACTTATGGGTTGACTAAGCAATGTGTGTAACAAGAGATTAAGGATTCATTAGTGTGACGTTCGGTGATATCTGACCCCACAATCCCACAAAATCATAATACCATTTCTACCCTTTTCCACTCATAACCAAATACTTTTATATAGTTAACATTCCAGTAGTTATACTCTTCAATTAATCTTCACATGACAAACTACAAAATTGGAATTATTCTTTAGTCACGAATAGTCAATAAATGCTTATTTTACCTACTAAGCCTTGGGGATACGATAATTTTACTCTTGGACCGGCCGATATACTTGCCGTGTTTGAGATCGTTGATAGAACAAAAGTGATTTAAAGTGATAACAAAAGTAGTTTTAACGGAAATCTCAACATTAGGTTGAGTGAATTTCAAACAGATTACAGCACAACAAAATGCAAGTTTAATTGCAAAGTTTGAAGAGATGGAAGTTAAAGAAGTTGTTTGGGATTGTGAGGGGTCTAATAGTCCAGGCCTGGATGGTTTCAACTTTAATTTCATAAAACGTTTTTGGGAAACTATAAAAGGTGATGTTAAAAAATGTTTGGATTCCATGTTAATCGTAAAATTCCAAGGGGAGAGACTCAACCTGTGCAATAGCGCAAAGACCCCTATTGTTGACTTTTTCGGCATAGAGTTCAACGCTGTTCTCGGGAAACTTGAACCTCTTCTGAACCACGGAGGTAAGTTCCCTAATTCTCCTTCCCTTCTCCCCTATACATAAACAATTAAAAAAAAAGTTCAATACACGATTTCAATTATTTCAATTAGGTAATAGAACATTCTAGAACACGACACTAGAACAAACCGAGAACGGCTTGGGTTCGAGTGGCTCTGATGATGATTTCGGTGCGCATCGGCGTAACCCTAACCTCGACGCTCTAATTCATTTTTTTATCACACTAATTCTAAAGGTAGCAGACTTGGTAGGATTGAGTGAATTTAGACCAATTTCATTAGTTGGATCAATATATAAGATTTTAGCAAAAATCTTATCAAAAAGGATAAAAAAAAAAAGCCATGGCAGATGTAACTGATTAATCACAAAATGCGTTCTTAGGTGGTAGGAAATTGTTGCATAATGTTATGGCTACAAATGAGCTGTTGGATGAGGCAAAAGGGAAGAAAAGAAGGTGTTTGGTCTTCAAAGTGGACTATGAAAAAGCATATAACTTAGTTTGTAACACTCTGAATTTTCTACTAAATACAATGTTGATTATTATTTATTTTTATATAGTTATTTTATTTAATTAAAGGGTTTTATAAAATTTTAAAGGTTTGTAATAATTTAAATTATTTATGAAAATTTTTATAAGATTCTGTTTTTATTACGCCGGAACGGGCTGTTCCAAAAGTGGAACGGGCCGTTCCAAACGAAGAAAATATACTATTTTTGAAGTGGCAGAACGGGCCGTTCTAAAAGTGGAACGGGCCATTCCAAAGTAGTAAAAATGCCCATTTGGGTTTTTCAAGAACGAGCCGTTCCCAAAGGGAAACGGGCCGTTCCGAGATTCTAAAAATGCCTAAAAAGTTAAGTTGGAAACGTGTCATTCTCCTTATGGTCAATCTGTGTAAAAAGGAACCCTAGAACGGACCGTTCTAATTTTAGAACGGGTCGTTCTAATTTTTGAAAACGGGCCGTTCTGATTTTAGAATGGGCCGTTCCAGTTGAAAATTTTGCCTATAATGCATGGCTCCGGAACAGGCCGTTTCGAATTCAGTACGGGTCGTTCCGGGTACGCCAGGATGCCTATAAATAGGGGCAGGGGGGTGAAAAAAATTATAACTGAGTGAGAAGGTAAAATCTTAGAGTTAAAGAGAAAGAGAAAGAGAGAGAGAGAGAGAGAGAAAGAAAGAAAGAAAGAAAGAAAGAAAGAGAAAAAAGAGAGAGAAAGAAAGAAAGAAAGAAAGAGGGAATCCAGAGGAGGAGGTTCTGCTCAAGTTTTAGCTCTTGCTTATCCAGGTAAGGGGGGAGTGAGAAACCTCGTTCGGGGGTGTGGGAATAATTGTTGGATAGTTTGATTGTCGGATTGGCTCCCAATCCATCCTTGCCTATGGCATGCTCCTTTGAACATGCAAAGTATTAATATGTTCTATTTTATCTTCTGTTTGCTCTACTTTGTTCCTTGTTGGAAGTAATAAATGAATATGTAATTAATGTTAAAAATAAATAAGTTTTAATATGAATAAGAATGTTCTCTATGGATTCCTGTGCGGACCTTATAAGGAATAATTATGACACATCTAGATTTTTTTATATATATATGCAGACCAAATAATGATATTAAACAAGATCAGCTTCAAGGATAGTAAATTCATACATATTGCAGTGAAAGTAAGAGGCAAAAGCTAAAATAAAATTTGCAAGCGAGAAGCATGCGTAATGCTATTAATGACAAAAAGGAAAAATGAAAACAAATAGCATATATATATGATGTGAACGTAGAACGCAGATGGTACAACAAAACCATATCAAATCATGTTGTAAGAGGCAAAAGCTAACGTAAAAAAATTTTTGCAAGCAGGAAGCACGCGTAACGCTATTAATGGCAAAAAAGAAAAATGAAAACAAATGGCATATATATATAATGTGAACGTAGAACGCAGAGAGTACAACAAAACAATATTAAACTATATCAAATCATGCTTTTATTCTTATAATATAATTAAGAAAAGGGGATGGAAGCTCATGATGACAGAGACAAAAGTGTTTATGATAGTTTCATTTGATGCGTACTCGCTCGTAGGTTTGAGGTGGGTACTACTGGTATGAGGTTGGCGCACATTGCAAGGGTTGATTTCCTCAAGAGTCTTTCCAAGGTCTTTCTTAAATGGCATATCATCGATGGTATGTGCACTGATTGGACATTTTCGTTTCTTTTTTATGGTTCCACTTGTACGAGAGGTTTAAAATTTTTTCCCAACCTCCCCCCCCCCAAAAGAAAGTCCCCTTTATAGAAGAAACGTACCAAAGCATGCTACCAAAAAGTGACAGCTAGCTTAGTTTTCAATTCCAAGAATCACTTTATGCGCCTGGCACCAAAGCCAGATTGTTTATACTAACATGGAAACTGTAAAAGATAAGGAAAAAAGTCATACTGGCTACAAAACGTATTTGTTGATATAGAGGAAGATTTTGTTTCTTTATTCTTTGTATTTTTTTATTCTTTCTTGTATATATATTATTAGAGTTTAAATATGGTTTGTAAAATATTTTTATTATTGAATCATTAACTTGAAAACTTTGAGAAAGAAATTAGTGGGAAGATTAATGAAACAAAATTGGTGTTTACAGTCTCTAAATAACCATTATGCATTTTCAAAAGTGATTTTAACACTCATATCTTATGAGTAAATTTATGTGTCTGCCATGATGTCTTTCTTTAAGCTTCACATTTTTCTTTGATCACAAGCTTGTTTGTAACAACCGATAAATAATTGAACTACTTTGTTAATTCAAAATCATTTTCCTTTCAAATGACTTGTTTCCTTTCGAGAAATTTATTGTTATAGAGTTATTGTAATTATATTTAATTCTTATCTAGAAACTATTTATTGTTTGATTGACCCCCAAATTTATGTCCTTCGAAATGATTCATGATTGTATGAAAAACCAACCATATATTTCTTTTTCATGGTTATGCTTCTTTGGTCCACATTTCCCAAGTTTCTCTACACATACCTTTATCTTCTATGTAGTACCATCCTTTGTGTCAATGATAGAATTATCGTGAAAAAAGTGCACAATATTTTACTTTTCACCTCATTCCTTTTATATTTCTTTCCTTGGCACATACTTCACCTTTCTCTTGTAAGTTATCTCTAATATGCATTGCCTCCACTTCATTGATGCCTTTGAGATGGGGCTCCATAGCATCGCTAAGAACTAGCCCATGTTGCAGGACCTTATGTTGTGGGGTTGCTACAATGTTGTTTACGTGTTGGAACCTTCAGATTCTCAAACTCTTCGGGCACGTCAACAAGTTTTACAATTTGGTGGTTTACTATATTAAGTTTGTGAATAATGGGTTTTATCTTTGAACAAAAAAATCAAGATATGAAAGTTACTAGGAGATTAATCAATTAAGTTAGAGGGGATAATGGTTTGACATAGTCAAAAATGACAATTGTGAATAAAATCACTATTGGTGGTTAAGTGGTGGACATAAAAAATGAGAGAATGATGATTTGACACAATAAAAATGAGGATTTATAAAGAGATAAAAATACATACAAGACCTATATAAAATAGAGTTTTCAGTGAAGAAGGGGATTGATCGAAAAGGTCAAAGGGAAAAGAGGAAAAAACTCACTCCATTGTAGTGCATATATTTCATTCATCATTGCACTAAGAACAATGTTTTAAAAAATTGATTGGTCATCAAACAAGTCATGATACTAGATCTCTACCCATCCTATTCCTTTCCATGCAATACTCACAACTCACCACCATATGAAATGCAACATGTATCAACAGACAAACAAACATCACTTTCAGATACATATGCTTGGAATAATGAGTTGCATGCCATAGTACTTCACTTAACCAAGATGAGAAGGAAGGTGATCAGTCTTCTTCCCTCTCAGTACCAATTCAGTATAATGGTGTACAATGCATCATTCACCAAATTCATGCACACACATGTCTATATAAACCTCTCAAAACATCAATCTCTCATCTCATACTACAAAATCACTATTATGCTTAAACAACTAATCAAAACCACATCAACATACAAAATGCACAGAGGTAAGTACATTTCAAATCCACTTCTCCGTAATCCAATCCAAATCCATATAAATAACATATACATACATGCATACATACATACATATATATATATATATATATATAGAGTATATCTACCAAATAGCTCGGTATTTCCATAGCGTTACATAAAACCCTAGAATCAAGAGAATGTTACATCAATTATTCATCTTTTAAATGTGCTTATTATAATTTGATTAAATTACATATATTAGTCTTAACATTCATCAAGTGCTTTATTCTAAAAGACTTACAACCTCCAAACTATCATTGTTTGTGTTCTAAGAATTTAAGGTCAAAGAAATGTTACACCAAATTAACCATATTTGAAATTTGAATATTAATTACTATGTTATTAATCACTAAAAGTATTTAAATTATTTTTAGTATTTTTATCTTACAGTAATATATAATTAATACCGTTATAAGTATAAAAATAAAATATAAACAACGCACTTATTTTAACAAAGCTTCATTCATCTAGATTTTTTTATATATATATGCAGACCAAATAATGATATTAAACAAGATCAGCTTCAAGGATAGTAAATTCATACATATTGCAGTGAAAGTAAGAGGCAAAAGCTAAAATAAAATTTGCAAGCGAGAAGCATGCGTAATGCTATTAATGACAAAAAGGAAAAATGAAAACAAATAGCATATATATATGATGTGAACGTAGAACGCAGATGGTACAACAAAACCATATCAAATCATAGATAAATATTAACAAAAGTGTTTCAACGGAAATCTCAACAGTAACATGCTAACAAGGTGTGCCTTAGGGTCACCACTGATATAACATGCTAACAAGGTGTACCTTAGGCTCACCAGTGATTTAACCATGTGTACTTTAGGGTCACCAGTGATGTAACCAGGTGTACCTTAGGGTCACCAGTGATAAAATGTGAAACTTCCTTATGGCGCCACATGCATGCATTTATGAGTCGAGTCCATGACATCATAGCATGATAAATGAGTGTACATTTGATATTGATTATGTATGTGTATTGTTTACATGTGACTTATATTTGTTATGTGTGTGTGCTATCTAACCTTTATTTCTGCATTTGAAACTGAGTGAGATGTTTCTCACTCCCTTGTTGTTCTTGTATATGTT